GAATTATTTATGTGAGCAGACATTGCTACGGGACGTGGGCAGCCCAAGTTGTTGACTTGGTGTACGACTGAGGCAGCTTACAGATGGTGTCGTCTTTGTAGGCATTTCGCCAAAGTGTTTGTCTTTGTTTTGTTTTGTTTTTAACTCGCCACTGTGTTATCCTTCTGGTCTCTTTTCTGGTTTTTTGCATTTTTCATTTGTGATGAAATTGATAGATCTTTCCTAAATTCCAACATTAATAACTGAATGATAACCTATCTTTGAAAAATAGATTATCTAATATTTATAGAATTATGATAGTGATAGGAATTAAATTGCTCAGTTGTGTTATTTGGACCCTTTACCAACTTTGCAGCAGCAGTTCTCGTTAAAAATAACTGCCTTACATATGTTGGCATTTTGACACAAACTGTTACTGAAAAGAAGGAAAAGACAGGGTAACAGAAGATTAGCCAAGATGATCATCCTCTTCAGTGTTATTCAAAGACCTGAAATAGATCAAAACTGATATTTGATAATAGATAATTAGTTTGGATAAAACCTTTTATGTGCTGCAAGATGGAGTCAGAAGTTGCAACTTATGCATATATGATGTTCCACAAATGTAATTAAGTCAATAAACTTTTCTTCTAATTTTCTGGCAGCTACCTACAGTTCCTTGCAAAAGTTTTTATTCTTCCTAAGCCTTCTTATGTGAAAAAACCTTTTGCCCAAAATCATCTATCCCGATAGTAGCACATGTTGGTGGCAGCAGTATCATGCTGTGGGGAGGGTTTTCATCAAAACGCATTACTTCAAGATTGATTGCAAGCTGAATGGGAAAATGATGAAAACTCCCCAATCCTGGGAGCTGCAAAGGCACGCCTCAGATTAAAGGTCAGCAATCTTCGGAATTTGAGTTTTAACATTTTTGGAAGGCACTGTACCACAGAATACGTCAGGCCAGAGAATATGTAACAATTGTTCAAAAACAACCTTCAATAATCTTGCCAGAATCTGTCAACAGAATCTTGAGCTTTTGGAACCAGATCCTTTACTGTACCTGTTGCGTGTCTGATGGATGTCTAAAAAGACTCCTTTTCAAACAACCACAAGGCTCCTTCATCAAATTGTCACTCCTGCCTGGCATTGTGCTTAACACAACGGACGACATTTCACTGTCAGCTTTGATGTTTTTTTAATACTCACAAATATGCAAACTATGAGTTTGCTTCTCAGGACGAGAGTGAAGTATTAGTGGGGGGGGGGGAAAGCATGTATCAGCGCCAACTTGTCTGCTAGTCTGTGGGTGTAACTCCCGTTTGTCTCCGTTTAGTATCTGTAGCTCATTTCTCTTGTAAAATCAGTCACTGACTTTCCTGTTTTAGGCCGTCCTCTGTTCTAAGATGGTCAATTTAAGCAATCACTCCTTGTTGTAATTAGAAACCACTGGAGTGCTGCTATTGTGCTGAACAGGATTAGAGGGACGATGGGCGCCATGCTGGATCCCAAACTTGTTTTACCGGCACCTGTATTCTCTTCTTTTTGGCTGTGATAATTTACAGTGACTTTTATTTCCCCGGTACATGAAGCTGCAGGAGACTTATAGCAGCAAGAAAGTCAATCTCCAAAACTTTCAATTGATTACTTTAATAAGTTCATTCATCACACTTTATCATGAGCTGGAATTCCTCTGGGCGTAGTTGCTTATCTTGGCTGTGATAGAAGACATTTTCTTCAGCTCCGGTTTCACGGAAAAGGAAATATTAAGCTTAACAGGATAAAGATTGCCTAATAGTTTGGCCCCAAATCACTTGTCCCTTTCTTAAGAACAGGGAGGAGTATTCAAATGTAGACAGATGGCTTGATAGTTAAAATGTCTCCTCAAAATTAAAAGTAAGGTACGGTATAGGACTGCTTGAGCAGTCTGAAAGAGACAAACTATTCCAGCCTGTGCTGTTCAGCAGCCTGCAGGCTCACAGTTGTGGCCCATTTTCCTCTGCCCGAGCCTGCTGAGTTCAGCAGATTGGTGTGAATTGGTTGAAGTTTATACTCAAGGAACCACAGGGATTAATAGTTATCAGAATTGGGGGGGGGACTGAAAGGAGACGGGAAAATTTGAGTCAAGAAGGATCTATTTTGAAATGTTTTTGGCTAAAGTTCTTCTATTATAAACTGTCCCAATGTTCGTATATTTAAGAAAAATGTTAAGCACCTGAATTAGAGCATAGACTCTGAGACGAATCAAGTTTAAAGTATAATTCAGCGGAAAAAGAATATTTATTTTTAGTTCTTTGGTAGTCACACTTGCATATGTCGGGTTGTCTCACAGAAGTCATATTAGCAAAATATGAAAAGGAGCTATTAATGGTGAGTTGAGGTAGAAAGGAGGCTTAGTTATTCAAACCAAACAAATCCTCTCTGACAAAACAGTCACTCAGTAAATCTGAAAACTGGTTGTGTTACCTTTGCCGGCAGCACCTTTCCAAGCATGAACTCCCTGTTTTACGTCATACCACACTATCTCAAACAAATTTAAGCCCAGAGTTTGACTTGTCTATTGCAAAACATTTTTGTGTTTGTTTTGAGCCATTCAGAACTGGACTTAGTCGTGTTCTTCTTCTTATCCTGCAGGAAGACTCAAAGGTCACTAGCTAGTAGATATTCTCCTTCAGGATTTCCGGCTGGAAAGCACAGATTACGTTTGCCTGATTTTACACCAGGACCTGAAGCAGCAAAGCAGAGCCACATCATCACTCTGCCACCACCATGTTTGACTGTGAGACTGATGTTGAATCCTGTCCAAGCATCTACAACAACTCTTTGAAAATCTTGGACAATACGAGTTGCAAAAATGTTTGATTTCCTTTTGGGATCATTAAAGTATTTTAGAATTTGAATTGAATTGAATTAGTCACACTTAATTCAGGATTAAACCAATGAGGCAGTTATATTTTTACACGTTGGTTTGGATATTTTTGATTGGAAACATTTATGTTCCAATCAAAACATATTTTTAAAGAAAAATCAAATTTCTTTAAAAATTGATTTTTAAAGAAAAAATCAATATTTTCTTTAAAAAATTGATTTTTAAAGAAAAATTTAAAAATCAATTTTGAGGTGAGGAAACATTTCCAACTGGAGTTTATTGAAATCAAGATAAACAATGCAATATTTTCCCTATTGTGTGCCTTCGCACTCTTTGACCGTATTTGTACATATTAACTTGTGTTTTTATAATCGGCGTACCAGATAACTTAATAGATTGTCATTAATCTGATTCTTTCTCCTGCTCAGTCTCTTCACCAAAAAGTTCACACAAAAACAAACCCTTTCTTCTCTCATTTCAGTTCAACCTGCCACTGCTTCGCAGGTTTACCTCGTATTTTGTTGTGCCTTAATTCCCAGAGACAATGTAATGACAGAGACACTCAGTGTGATAGGATGAGTATAACTCAGCTGGTGAAAGCAGCCAAAACTCTGTCAGGTCTGTGCAAACGGGACTCCAACAGAGCAGCCAGACCCATCTCTGCCTGTGCCAGTTGCCCTGCTCTGCGTCTTTGTCCGTTTTGTGCAGCCGGAGCGGCGTTTCTGCAGCCGGCATCATTTACAGCAAGCCATCACCTCCATCGCAGGTTACTATTGATCAGTCTCATGATCTAATCCCCTCAGTCTGCTGCTGCTAGACGTGCTTCGATCGTCCTTCGGTGCGTTTTCTCTGCATGAGCTGCTCAGCTGATGGCTTCATGAGCCGCGCACGGTGCGCGCCGCCACGCAGATTTCATCTATCTGCACACAGAGCGTGCATCTGTGTTCCATGCATTTGTGGATGAGCGGTCTGTGAGGGGGAGCCTGTATAAAATGACCCCGCTTTGACCCTGAACTGGTGATTTTTTTTTCTCTCTCTCTCTCTTCCTTGCTCCACCGCTAAAGCAATCCCTCTTCTTCATAAATACTTCAGGTCCTCGGTGTTCAAGGTTTAAAGAGATTTGCCTAAAATTAAGTTTCTGAGCTTGGAGTAATCCATCAATGCCATTTACTCTGCTTCCAGTCAGGACTTTTCTTTACAGGTTTATTAAATTAATACCTTTTCTGTCAGCCTTTTGGGAAAGGTCTGAATGAATTACGATTTCACACAGTATGAGTGAAATTGTGCTTTTCAGATCGTAGCCTGGGTTTCCTTTGCTGCTCATTCCACCTTTTAACAGTTCTCCCACAAATGCTCTGTTACTGCATGAAATATCTTAATGAATAAATATTTTCTTAAGCCAATGTGGTTTGACATTTTTCCCTTAGAGTACATTTGCACATAGGAAGGAACCATTACCCTTCACTGCCTCTTTGTCGCCCCTGGTGCTGGGCTCTAATTTGCTGGGACTGGCAGCTAGAGAAGGTTGCTACGGAGGACGGAGTGCACCGCTTGATTTCTTGGCACAGACCAACAGCATGGCCAAACTCCAGCTGCTCTGATGACCTTCGTTTAGGATCAATAGACTGTTTAGATATGTTAATAGCAAAATGACTCCAGTCATAAAGTACATGTATCCTCTCCTTTGTTTTTTTTTTTGAGAGAGAGAGAGAGAGAGAGAGAGAGAGAGAGAGAGAGAGGCAGGCAGGCAGGCAGGCAGGCATTATTGTTTCATTCTATCAGTACAGCATGTGAAACACAACATCTTATTTATGTAAAATACTTCCCGCTTACATTTAATAAAAATGCATTTAACATTTAAACACATAATGTGAGCTTAGTGACTAGTATGTTCGAGACCTATTTCAAGGTTGTAATTTTTAAAGGTATTTTAAATCTGCCAAAGGAGTCTTGTCATAAAACAAATTTATCAAATATAACTGTTTTAAAAATATTTATATTTAAATTGAAAAGCATACATACCAAGAAATTATATCAACTGAGGGGGAAAAAATACACATTGACGTGTCTTGCGTTTGACAGATGTCACTTTTTGATGTTTCTAAAATGTTATTAATCTCTTCCACATCGCCCTGTCTCCCCCTCCTCCCAGGTCCAACTGGCTGAAGCCTTGCTGTGGACGGCGGGCGGCACTGTGGCAGGTCTGCCTGCTGTCAGCAGGTTTCAACTGTTTCCTGGTGGCCTGTGTCATCCTGGTGGTGCTGCTGCTGACAGTGGAGTTGCTCATAGACATCAAACTGCTGCAGTGTGAGTGATGCTTAAACCAAGATGACGTGGCCACGGTGACGTCGAAGGGGATGGCGAGTGCGGTTTTGAGGATGTAATATTGATGAAGTTGGTGTGTTCTGTTCATTATTAACAGTCTAGTCTGGACGCAACACGCCCTTGGAGGGACAGGAAAGTGGTCTGCTCAGCACAACTGTTTACTGATTGTTATTCAAAGGCTCTGGGTCAAAGCACAGATCTAACACACAAGACAAAGGGGCAGGTTCACCACGCCATCATTAGCATAAAGGTTTCGCTGCAAGAATGCTACATTAAGATTAAAATAAAGCACTGAAGGCAATTTTATGCAAATATACTTTGTTATAATGTTGATGTTTGCAAATATTAAACTAAAAAGAGCATCGACTTTCTTATCAGTACTGCTCTAAGAGTAACTGAAATTCTGAAGATGTATATCTTACATCTTCAAAATTATATGATTAACTTGGAGCATTTTTCTTATTAATCTGAATTTTATGTTCAAAATATATAATGGATCATCATCTTTACTCCAGTATACCTTCAATGATGACATTGTTATAAGTATTTGATATGCAAAAACACTAAGTTTGTTTTTTTTTATGTTGCGCTAAGTCACTATAAATTTCATCTCCAGCCACCGATACAATAAGCTTATAAACAATTAAATCACAGGGAGACAAATTCAGTGTCTAAGAAGCCAACTGCATCGTGAATTTATGAACAAATCTAAAGTCTACAAAAAACAAACAAACAATCCTAAGCTCCTACATCTAAAATGTCATTGTACTTTAAGACTCACTCACATTCCATGAGGTAAAGGTCTGAGTGGATTCCCTGCTTTATGTCCGCAGGGCTCACATGCTGACAGACCATTTTCTTCCGGCGATTTCCAAAAAATGTGTTCCCAGCAGACTAACTGAGTGATTGACCAGTTAAATTACCAAGAGAGACAAATGTGAGAAGGAAGATAGACCAAGAAATCATGCAATGCAGACTCTGCTACTTGTGGGATTGCGGGAAGGACTTGGAGGAAGATGAATAGGCTGATAGGACAGATCACTGAACACAGCAAACAAAGACAGATGGAGGGAGATGTGGCGCGTGAAGACAAATGTCTCTGCTGATAGCCGAGCGCAGTTTGATGCCGTCCGCAAGTAGCCTGATGAATAGAGGGGAAGATGCAGACATGTGCGTGTACAGTATGTGGTGAATGAATGTGCATGGTGCCTGCCTCAGGCTTCAATCTGGAGATGCATACGTGTGGTACGCGCTGGTATTTTTCACTTGATGTTCGATGCAGTGAAATGAGTCACCTATGTTTAGCTCATGTGCCCGTCTGTCTTTTAAAATAATAGGCTACTGTGTTTTATGCCCCCAGTTAATAACGCATCCCAGTTTGCCAGCATCATCCACTGGATCAGCCTGGCTATCCTCTCTGTGTTCTTCACCGAGGTGAGTCCTCTCCTGCTCAACACAATAGCAATCTCACTTACAGCCAATGCAGCGACCTGACGATTAATGCTGCGCTGTGCAGTACCTTGCTCCAATGAAATGCACCAGCAGGTTCTCAGCACAATACTGGGAACAGCTTTGAAATGCCCAGCACCTTTATTCACTGCACAAACACATTTTGGTACTCTGATCTGATAAAAAAAAAAAAAAAAAATCGCATAAAGGAGACTGAATTTCCAAAGTGCTCGTGTCTCTGCCGTTGCACAGGTTATTTGATTGATCCACAGCAAAGACGGTTTAAAATGCAGATAGAGCTTTCCGTGCCACTCCTTTCCAACACCTCAGATGTTCTTCATTGATTATCGCTTTCTTTACACACGTTCATTTTCATTTCTTACACTTGACTTTCAAAGGTTAAGCTTATGCTATAAGGTCCCATATGTCTGCGTGTGAACTCTCTTCATTTACAAAGCATGTAACAAACACTTGTCTGGACCGGTTTAAGATGCTGTCGTCACTCTTATTTTCACCTGTAAGCTGAATGTTGTCAGTTTTATTTGCGTGATTTACACCATATTCCGTAGGCCATATTCACCGAAAGAAGAGTGAAATCGAAAGAAATCTGCTACATTTCTTTTAGTGAAACTGAATACATTGTTTTTACTGTAAAATGGTGATATTAAAATAGCGTCAGCTACAGATGCGCAACGGTTTTGCATTGTGAAAACAAAAGTGCTGAAGACGTGGTTGCATGTCTGTGCCAAGCTTTTATGTCTTTATTAAGTCGGTGTGATGTTGGTTCACATCTATAATGACAGCCACGTTGTACATCAGCATATATTCATGTCTTTTTCATTTCTCTTTTGTGTTAGATAAACACAAACTAGTGCTTAAAACGTTTGCACAAAAACTACGCACGGAATAAAGGTCCTGCAAAAAGTTGGTGCTTGAAAAGCTTTTCTTCCATATTTCTGCATTCGTGTCAACATCAGCACACGGGCATTAGTGAGCTCTCATTTCCCCCATTGCACGTTGCAACACACTCAAGCAAATTTAATGCCTCAGAGCTTATGTGAAGAGATGTAGGGGAGGATATAGGTGAAGTACGTTGTATCAGAGTAAAGCTGCTCATTTCTCCATTTGCCATGTATGGTGAACTAAATGGGGGGAATATGTGAGGTATGCAGTGATTTCCAGATCTTAATTTGCAAAAACATAAACTCAAAACTACAGTATTATTTTCCTTCCACTTCACAAATATCCAACACCTTGTGTTGATCTGTCTGATAAAATTCCAACACATCTCATTAAAGTTTGTACTTGTAGCATGACAAACTGCGAAAAAGTCCAAGGGGGCATGCAAGATACTGTATGTATGCATCTGCAGCCAAAATGCCATGGTTAGTGAGCAGTGACAGGAGTATGAGCTCAAGAAGAACAGACACACTGAGGTATGCGGACAATGACAGACAGAGATAGAGATTATTTAAACAGCTCTTTTATAGCTGCAGTTCATGTTAAAGTTATAAAAACACTGACACATGTTTTGCCAGGTTCCCAATGAATGTAAACAGTCAGGACTTTCTTATGATTTTGGCACAAAGGGAAGTTCATGCTGCTCTAATGTAAACTTTTAAAAGGGCTTTTCAGGTTGCAGAAAAGGAGCACAGCTGCAGTAGACATGAAATACTATAGCTTTGCTTGTGTTACGTGAAACTGTGTTCGTTAAATTGGAGAAATTAAGAAAATGCATTAATTAAACTGTGCTTAGTGTGGGGTTTAATATCTACAATTACTCCACATGTTTCAATTTTTTTTTTTTTTTTCTGTCTCGTTGCTGCTCTCAGACGGTGTTCAGGATTGTGGTGCTGGGGATATGGGATTACATTGAGAACAAAGTAGAGGTGAGCTCTCATGTGTCCCATGAGAAATAAATCGATGGCTTCTTTTTCTGCAGGTGTTATAACTCAAGGGTTGCCTCTTTTTTTGTTGTTGCAGGTGTTTGATGGAGCTGTCATCGTTCTCTCTTTGGCCCCCATGGTGGCCTCCACAGTGGCCAACGGCCCCAGCAGCCCCTGGGACGCCATCGGCCTCATTATCTCGCTGCGCATCTGGAGGGTTAAGAGAATCATTGACGGTGAGCCAGGAGGAGCCGACGTCTCCTCCGTCCTCTCTTCACACAGATGGACAATTCGCGCCGCACTCGCTGTGTTGAGTCTTGAGATTTATTTGTTTGTTTTAGTTTTTCCTTATAATGGGCAAGGTGTCATTTATCAAAAGTCACCTGCGAAACTCCAAAAAGCTCATTGACGCAGATCATTGATCATACAGAACTAAACAGGTTGCTCCCTCATGTGGTTTTTCGTTGAAATGCAAGATGAGTTAAAATAAATTTTGTATGGCGCCCTGAGTATCACTTATTTTGCACTTAATAATGACTGTTAATATACCTTCAAACTATGAACAGTTTCCATTGAATGATGACAATGATGCTTAAAAAAATAAAACATTTATTATTGAAAATGTAAACAATTTTTTGACTATACTAAATTTGCCATTCAGAGACTGAAGGAGCAATTTTTTTAAATTATGTTCATTCTTTTAATCAACATCAGATCAAGTGTTTGGTATGAAGAGTTCAGCAGCGTAAGTGCGCCACCTGGTGGCCTGGGTACTATGGCTGCCACTTAAAACTTATTTATTGCTGTTATTTTAAATTAATCTATTAAAATTTTAAGGCTATGCTAAAGCACTATTTTTTACTCCCAAAATCAAAAGCATTTATTGCATGCCACAAAAAGTGCATGAGGAAAATAAACTAAATGAAGCCTAAATGAATTGTAGACATATTTCAAGGTAAGATTCCAGAAAATTCTACAAGCTGTGAAAGTTAAATTTGTCAAATATAAGACTAATCTAGAAATACATAAACATCAGGCTCATTTCAGGCTTGGGTGCAATGCCAGTGAGAAAAAAAAAAAAAGTTCTATTATGTGCCTAAAACATGTAGAAGAAAAAAAGACATGACTGGTTGCATAAAGTCTGCTTATTAATCTCAGCCACAGCATTAATCAGTCAGATGTGCATCCGCAACATTTTGGTTGAAACATTTTCTCAAATGTAAAACAACCTGTGGTACCACTTAGAATGGATTCAGCAGTGTAAAAAGCTGAAGTTGGCTTTCTTGTCTGTTGGCTCATTATTGGCATCTTGTACTCTGTTTCTTTGTTAATAAACCTTACATAGCTTTCAAACCCCAGATTAACATCTTCACTTGAAATTCTTTCAAAAATTATTTCATCTCCACTTTTGAAAGTGTTTAGAAACTTATGACAACGTCTTAGAAGGTAGTTTTCCCGTGCTTTATATTGGCTTTGTGTATAAGCAAAGTTCTGTCTCCTCCAACATTTGTAGTATGTCCATAAATGTAACTGCAACCCAACACGAGGCTGAAAGCATTACTAATGCTATACATTGTCAGATGCAGACGTGATGTAGACATGCGAATTATTAAGTCTTTATGCATTACAACTCCGGAATTGCTTTACTCCCATCTGGTGCTTTTCTCTGGAAAATTTCCCTCTAACTAAACATTACACGGATTAAGTTAAAAACTTAGATCAGTCTGTTTTGTTTTCCAGCATATGTTCTGCAAGTGAAGGTGGAAATGGAGCTGGAGATCCAGCAGTACGAGAAGGCCAAAGCAGTGCGGGAGGAGCAGCTTGATCGGCTAACCCAGATCTGCCAAGAACAAGCTGTAAGTTCTCACTCAGCTCATCTCTCATATGTTGGTTTGTAGCAGCGTGGAACCAGCAGAGGGCAGCAAAATGCCACACGAGAGAAACTCTTACACCTCCGGGCAAAATGTATGTATTCAAAACAAACAAAACAAACAAAAAAATTACACTATGGTCATGTCGTGACATCTGTTTGAAGGTGCTCTATATTTTATAATTATTTTTTTATTTTTTTTTTCACATTTGGAAAGTCTGCAAATAATATAACCTTCCGTTTAAAAAGTATTTACTTCCTTGCAGATTTCTTTTTTTTTTGTCACTCTTAAATGTTTCAGACAAATCAAACATGTTTTGATACAAGACAAAGCTAACAAAGCCAAATATAAAAAGTAGTGTAATGAAAAACATCTATATAAACCAACAAACCAAGAGAGGAAAAAATTGAAGGACTCTGTAAGGAGGAAAACTCTCTCTCACAGCACTGTAAATAAATTATTTGAACTGAAAAACATCAGTTATCACGATCACTATTTACTGAAATTCCTCATATGTTTTCTTTTTCCTTCGACTTTCTTCCGACCAGTTTGAAATCAGACAGCTGAGGGCCCACCTGGCCCAGCAGGATCTGGACCTGGTAGCAGAGCGTGAAGCCGCCATGCAGATCCACCATATGTGGGGGAAACAGAGCAGCAGCTTCCAGGAGGTGGACGGGTTAGCAGCGGGGGCCTCTGACCATCACAGACCAGCCAAAATTAGGGAACCTCGGGGGGCCACAGGTAACCCGCCCAAAACATCCAGCTGTGGTTTATTACTGAGAACTAAAAGGATGAGGAAAGACGGTCTTCCACTAACAAATGGAGAAATTGAATATCTTGAAAGGAGCTGAAGGTTTAATTGTAAAGTTTGGCATGGACAGTAAACAAGCAACAACAACAACAACAAAATATTACGACAAAAAGGGTTGCAAACAACTTATTTGAAACATTAGAAAGAGTCACTTCTTTCCGATTCGTTTGCTATTCTGTTGTTCTTAAATAAATCAGAGCCTTTAAAACTGTCCGCTGAGGAAAAAAAATGGTTGAAAAAAAATGCGGGGAAGATTTTGTGAAACATTTTATGGCAATAAATGCAACATGTCCTTATAAAGATAGACAGGCATATAAACTGTTAACAATCGAAAGCCATAAAGCAAAAAAAAAAAAAAAAAAAAAAAAAAAAATAAATTTCCCCTGATGATACAACAAAAACACTCTTTTT